GTTTTAATACCAGGTTTCACAGAGAGCTGCAGAAAACTGCTAAGTGAAGTATAACTGTCTACACTACAAAAAAAACCAAAAACAAAACAAACAAACAAAAAAACCAAAAAACAAAAAAACAACCAAAGGAGTTGTTTATAAATGCTATCTACTTATTAATTTTATCACAAAACTTTTATATTAATTCTTAAATTTCCTGCCACACCCACTAAAACAATTTTGCTGCTGCTAATACCCCTACTACCCAACTAGTGAAATAATGATATGTTATGCTTCTTTTAAAGATTGATTCTACTAGAAGTGATTGAAGTGCCTCATCTTCTCAGGCATCTAAATGTTAAACAACAGAATTGTGAGATATTCAGATTTAATTTCAGGAATAATCTTACCCAGCTCTCTGAACAGTAACAGCTGTTCTCCATGAGTTTTAGAAGTACTATAAAACCAATATTTTTACCAATTTGTATTTGTCAAATGCAAATATTTCAGCCTTAGGAATTAACAAAGCAACGCAAAAATAATCTAAAATGAAAATTCATGGAAAACTAGCCCAGAAGAAGCAAAGAAGTTTAGAGTTACATTTTTCTACACTCACAAACAAAGCTCTGTGGTTTCCCTACAGGAATATGTTGAAATGAAATAATTTTATTGGAACATGTTTATTTAGAAAGGTTTTTTCAGGAGAAAGCCAGAAAAAAGAGCTGACCACACTCAAATCAGCAATGGAAGTTCCCACTGATTTGATACCAGGAGAATTTGATGCAGTGGCTTTAAAAATAGCTTAATGTAGTTTGAGAAAACTTGGGATAGCATTAAGTTACCACAACTTGATAATGTGTGAAATCATGCTCAATCTCATGCCTTTGGCAGCAGTTATTAGCCTTTAAAAAAATCCCTAAAACCTCATAAAATCATGAGAGCTTGAATTCAACAGGTAAAAATAACCACTTAAATTAAAAAAACCCAAAAAAACTAAAAAACCCCAAGAGTTACTGCATAACAAGAGGGGATATGAACTTATTTACATAGAATTAGCTATTCAACTAAAAAAAAATTGAATTTGTTTAAAAGCTTAAAAGAAAAAAAGTGTGATTGTTAGTTAACTCTGCTGTTCTATAGCACTCACTTGAATTAACTATTTGCATTTCTTCAGACACTTGATTTGTTTCTCTTGGAAAAATGTTACTCTTTACCTCTCTTTCTTTTAGTAAAACAGCAATGTGGCTGAAGTCTGTGTGGTTCGCAGGGAGTTCATTGGGATATATTTGCAATTCCTGAAGCAAGAGAATGATATTTTATCTTTAGAAGGAGCTACATTTTTTGAACTTATTGAATTTTTCAGAGATCAGCATGAAGAGTTCTGATTAAATGCTTGCTTCAGCGTTTTAAAGGCTTCTTGTGTCCCTGTTGCCTAAGGAGGTCGTACACGAGGATTGCTCTGTAAACATCAGATTGTACAGAATTGGCTCTGAGCACCATGCCAGGCACACAAAGAGGAAGTCAAATGGTTTATCTCTCACTTATCAACCAGTTTATTTTTCACGCCCAAAAAAGGCTGCTACAAGAGCAGCTGCTACTTTGTAAATAATTTAATGGCTGCTGTTAAGTAGAGCTGTCCATTTTGCAAACAATATTAAAAGGAGATTTTCGTTTTACCATGGATTTGCACGTTTTGAAATGCATTTTTATCCCTGAAAGTCCAGTGCAGGAACCTGGAGAATGGAAACAGCTTCCGATTTGCAGACACAGATTCAAAAGAGAATAGATATGGTTAAATAATGACAGATGTGTGAGCAGGCAAGGTGTGATATCTCATCACCTGCAAGCATTACCTAGAGAGCATCCTGCTCATTAAAGCGTAGGAGAACTTTCAGTGGACTTGTAAAGAAAGATATTTGGCTCTTTCAGGCAGGTGTGAGATGTAGCAATAGCAGTTACCACTGAATTCTGGAAATGTAGAATATGCATTGTGTCATTGTATGGTTGGGATCCCAATATTGGTCAAGACAAGTGGGATTTTTTTTAAGAATTTTAGCACAAAAGGTTCATATTATTACATCTGATAAATTACTTTAATGATGAAACCACAACATTAGCACAATACTAACTCTCAGATTTTTGAAATTCAAATTCAGATTGAAATCCCCAGACCTTATCATATAATAAGTTTAGAATAATAGTTTAGAATTTAAACAGCCTTATTACGCAATAAGGCAAAGGAATATCTGCGATTGCCTGAATACAAAATCTTAAGTGAAACTTATGATCTCTCCAGTGCTAGTGCAAAGTCAGGTCTCTCTCAAGCACCAAACCCTAGCCAGAGCCCTCATGATAGATGTGAGGACCGCCACCCTCCCCCTGCTCTGTGGCATTGTTGCCAAAATCCTTCCCTAATTGAAAGTGGGGTATGTTGCCTCAAGTTTGGGAAGGGCTGTGTTGTTTAAACAGTGTTCCTTGTGCATTTGTTCTTCCTGCTTTAGTACATCTCACGGGGAGCAGAGTCCATGTCCCACAACAAAAATATTTATTTCTTTACTCTATAGCTCATATCTGATGGTTTTGTGGCTTTTAACCACTCCTGGCATCCACACTGCAGCTGTATCCCCAGACCACAATAGGTTCAATGCTCATAACTTGAGGTCAGTTCCAGATATTTATTTTAGATATGAAAGTGCAAAGAAATCTATTTACACTCCTGTGGGTAAGAACCCTGATATTCCCCTGGTTTTGTGCCTGCAGATGAGACTGCTCTGTTTTCCATGAGGCTCCCATGGATCTACTAGCATTATTTAAGGTGTGCCTGTGCTACATCCACGGCATAAAATATCAGAGTCACTGGCCATGCTATAATTAATTGCTCATAGCATTCATATATTAGAAATATGGCACACAAGGACTCTATACATCCAAATTATAGCCCACTTCCCATTAAAAAGCTGCTGGGTACCACCTGGAGCACGTGCATGTCACAGTGAAGTGACTGGTGTGAGAACTGGGATTTACTCAGCACTGGTTCTCAGCAGAGACAAGAAAACACAGATCAGTAGTGTGATGGAAAGAGATCAAGAAAAAGTTGACCCAATTCTGGTTTGTTTCTTTTCTCAATACACACTTCTCTTTCAGCATCTCTCAGGGTTTTATGTTCTGAAATATTCCCACTCCTTGGAGCTGGGTTAGCCTCAGGAGAGGTGGCTCAGGAGAAGTCATGGACATCATATATTGGTGAAAGTTTGTAGCTTTAAGGGGGTAAGTTGTGTAGGCCTTAGATGTTACTGAGTAAGTGGAAAAAGAAAAAAAACAGAAAAGAAAAATGAATTACAGATTGCTTGACTCACACCATACATCTGAGCTTTGACATTTTGCAAATTCAAAGATTTAACATTCTGTTTCTTCACAAACTCTGGCCAAGTGAAGAGAGAGGCTCTTCAGGACCAAAGACTCAGTTCCAGGTGGGAGCACAGCAGTGAGATCTGTGTCAAAGTTTATGGCACAAGACCTGCAGTGGATCTTGCCTAATTATTTTTTTTCCCATCAACAGGAATTTTGTCTAAGCCCTTTCCCAGAGCTCTTCATGGATATGAAAAGCAGCTTCTCACAAACCTTTATAAGTTTTCAATACTGTTCCTCCCCTTCTCTTGGCTTCTCATTCTGCAAGGCTCCAGGAAGAGATCTCCAGAGAAACCTCCCTTGCTTGCCCTGGATTTGAGTTTCTGAGATGTAAAGCATTGCCTGTACATTTGTTTTCTCCTCTGCTTTTATTTCTCTTTGGATTTTTTTTATTCAGGATGGAGGAGAAATTGCACCAGTGCTGGTTTAGCACCTTTATTTATCGTAGTGTGGTGTGTGTGCTTGAGGTGTGCTGCCTTCAACCGAGTTGGCCATTTTCAACCATTCCCCACATTGCTCCGCAGGTGGGAACCAGCAGCGCAGACAGCATCAGCGACCTGGGAAAGCCAAACCTTGCCACACTTCACCCTCCCTCACACCACAGATGCCAGTAATATTTAGGTGGCATGAAGAGTAGGAATAGTCCACAGCAATCCCACGGTGCTGGATTTTTAGGATTCGGAGGTTCAGAGATGCTTATGAGGAGATTTGTCCTCCTAAGCCAGCGAGCGTTCTGGGTCTCCAGATGAAATGTAAACCAACAGTGTGACCAGGGTGTTACATCCTCCCCACTGCCCACAGTGCCACCATGGGTATCATGCAGATTAGCTTACACAGGATCCAAGAAGGCAGAGAACAAGGGGAGCAGAACAGGATTAGAAGGAGAAAAAATGAAAAAGGGTCTTACGATTTTGAGAAAAATCTTTTTAAAGTCTTTATCTGTAACAGGATTTTATTTTTCCTTAATCCAAACTCTGCTAGCCTGTGGTTTGATTGATTTTTTTATTTATTTAAGTCTCATACTTAGAATATACGATTCCTCCTCTATATTTTTAAGTAGTTCAGATATTTTTAAACCATTTCCTTTACCACAGTGCTCAGACTTGGAATTGAATGCCCATGCTTCACCTACTGAAGACTTCAGGTCTTGATTGTGAACCAAAATATTTTCAAACAGAGCTAAGGGAAGCCTTTATTTTTAAAGGAAGGAGTTACACCTACCCCTCTGAGGAACTAGTCCAACTGATAAGACTTTGATCCCTATGGCATCAGGAAAATGCTCATGCAGCAGCCTTTGGCAGCCAGCTGGACCTTCTGTCGGTGACAATTTAGAGAAAGCATTTCCTCCTTGCTAACTACAGCCAATACACAGTCTCTGTCTTTCAAAAACTCTTGGACCTGTTTCTTGTTGCTGGTCATTGGCTCCTTGGCCTCCTTTTCAAGGGAAAAGCCAAGGGTGAAAGCTGTGGAAGCATCTGGGTTTCCGTTCAGTTTGGTCCCTTGCAAGAGAGGACACCGTTGTCCTTACGGGCATCCAAGGCAAACAGCTGGCAGCTTGGTTGGTACTTTCAGATGAAGTAAGTGTGATAACATATCCTGATTCATCTTCACAGAACTTCTGGGGCAGTCAGATGAAGAGGACCCATCTTGTGAAGCTTTTGCTGACCAATCTCCAGAGCGGGGAGAAGGGTGCAACCTGCCTGCTCCCAGCCCTGCTGACAGACCACCAGTGCAGAGCTGCTCCCACAGGTGAGTTCTGAATTGTTTCAAAATGTATGTTTGATATTCTAAACCTTCCTGACAACTGCAGTTGTTGTCTGCATCGTGATTGTAAGCACAATAAAACATGAACACACTAAGAACTTAAGAAAAACCTGGAAGCCCAGAGGGCACAGCATAGACACAAAGAAATCTCCAGAAACATAGACAATTTGCAAGCTTTTAACACACACTAGCACAGCCATTTTCAGACTAAATCATCTGGGCAAAGGCAGCCTTGCTCATTGAATGTGGAGAAAAGAGAAATACAGCAATGGAAACGCAGCAAATTAACAGTTGCAGGTGGTGAACAGAACTTTTGAAAACCTGACATGATCTTTACACATTTCTGTAAGCACATCACTAGCCTGTAATCAAAATCCCTGGGAAGATCTTTGAGAGTGCCCTTCTTCAAAAGCTGATTAAAACCTTGAACCTAGCTATGAGAGAAACAACAGTTCTGATAATTGGGATTTTTTTCCAATGCTTTCTTTGCTGGTGAACCTGCACACCACCTTGCGAGGGATAGGAAATTAAAAAGAAACAGCACTTCTGCAAAGATTCCAAAAGCATTTGTTTTTGTTATTTTCCTTTGTGCATTCTTGATAGAAAAGAAAAAAAACAGTTATTTGTTCCCAGTGAGTATATAATCTTATGTAGACTTATTTTTGTTTTCTATGCCTACTGTCTGTAGGAATGTTTTTAGTAAATCTGGTGTGAGTATGACATTGAAGTTCTACATTGCATTCATCCCAGCTGTTTGTACATAACTGTGCTGAACACACAGTTCATGTGGGCAAAACACACATTTCCTTCTCTTTCTGGAAATCTGTATGTTAACCAGTTTTCTGGCTCCCCTCACATGGGGACATTGAGCTTTTTCAGTATTCAGTGTTAAATTCATTTTACCAACTGCACCACCTTAGTGAAGTATTTATTTTATGCATTGCCTACAACTTTTAGGACACGGGACACGCTCTAAAGCTTCCAGAGCTATCTAATGGGTTTGGAGATGGGCCTGACTTTAAAAATACTGTGCACAGTTATTCCTTCTTAGCTTTTGGGATGAAGATGCCACTGTACTTATAGGGGGAAATTATAAAGACAGTCTCAATGCTGGAGGCTGGAGGCTCCAGAGGGCTCTCCAAGTGCTCCAATAAAAGGAGCTCCTTTAGCAGCGCACCAGAGCTGAGGCTGATCCCAACACGCCTCTGATCCCAAGGTATAAACACGCTGTCCTCCCTCCCTTCTGCTCACCTTTTCCCTTTCAGAGGTTGCTATGACTCACACATCTCTGGCAGTCCCACGTCTGCCTTCGTCAGGCGTCTCGGGAGAGAGGCTGAGAGCTCAACTTTGCCCCAACTCCTGGGCTCCCCACCTGACCACGTTTGCCTGCGCCTTCCCAGGTGGGTCACCATAAGTTGCTGAGCCTCAGGAGTGGTTCCTTATAATTGCCAGAGCTGCATAAATGGCTGGGATTTCCCAAGGCTTTTGGTTGGAGAGCATAAAGCAAGCTCCCACCCATACACCAGCTCCTCCACCTGCAGACACCCGGAGATACCGCTGACCTCCACCAGGAGAGGCCGGAGATTTTGGTGGCCGCTTACAATGCTATGGAAGAAAACTTCTCACGGCTCTCCTGGCTGGCCACAGCTGCTTGAAGCCTGCCAACAAGAGTTTAGGTTTCGAAGGCACTCCCTGTGACAACACCAGCCAGCTGGGAAGGTCACCTGCTGAGGTACAGGTGACTCCAACAACTTCTCCCCTGTGCTTAAAAAAAGCCACAGATGGTTACAAGCACCCAGCTGTGGCTTGGTTTGCCTCCAGTTTCACAGAGCTGCTCTTCTACAATGCATCTGCTGCCAAGTCTGCATCAGACTTCTTAATGTGAAGAAATCTCTATAAAAAAGGAAGTTTTAGTGTTTGGACCCTACATAAATAGGGCTGTTCTCTGTTCTGCGGTCATTGCAGTGGTTCATCTCTCTGTCCCAGATACTCCAGCATTACCAGAGACTTCTGGGCTTGTAATTGGCTTCTTCTGGGTAGCAGTGGTTCTTCAAGTTCCTGTAAGAGACCACACCATGCCTTTGCAGTTGTTCAGCAAGAGTATCCAATGGCTGTTCTTTCTTCTTTCAGAGTCTCTTGTTATCTGCCTTGGCTTTACGTCTTTGTACCAACTACTCACACCAATTACTACATTACTGCATTTCTAACACAAACACCCCTGTCAGTCCCAGATGCTGTCTCAAATTTGAATTTCACTCAGCTTTCTGGAAGCTCATCTCCAGCACATTTTTCTTTCTTCCCTGTATTTCAGCTCTCGGGACAGCTGAGGCATATCTCATGAGTTACATCTAGGCAGAAGTTGCAAGAAAGGGCCCTGTGAAGACTAGCAGAAGACACATTTCATTTGCCTAATAAACCTTGTTTCTGATGCCCTTCAGGGAGTCTGACATCTCCATATGTGTTACTGAAGCCCAGTTTTCAGGCTGTGTGATTAAAAAAATCACTTCAACTAACTCTTCACATCATCATCTCCTTTGCTTAACCAGGAAAGCCATAATCTGGGATGAAGACAGGGACAGAAAATGGAAGGAAAGGATAGAAACAACATAATCATTCACAAAACAATCTCAAGGGTTTCTTTCTCTAAGAACTTATTCTTGATTTAACTCCATGATGTTTTATGGAAGCAGCAGTGGTGTTGCTGCCAGTGGAGAGCTGTTGTCAGCTTTCTGAGCCATACACACAGACACACAAAGTTATGGGCAGTAAAGATTTCAGGACAACATTCCAGAAAGCAGCATTTCATTTGCTGCCTGATTTCTTTAACATAAAATTACAGTTAAACACCACCAACAATGCACAGTCCAGGGAATAATTTTATAAGATAAAGCTCTCACCTCTGGCTTACATTTGGCATTGACCATTGCCTTTTCTCTTTCCAAGTGTCAGCTATGTTTAAGCCTGGAAGTTCATGTCCTCCCATGATTCTTGTTATCTGTTTATGAAAACGTTTTGATCAGCATAACCCTGCAGCAGAAGCCTGTATTTGAGGAGAATATTTTGGATGCTGTTGTTCAGAGGACCAAGGTAGCATGCTGATTCCCTCAGCCACACAAAGGAGCTGATCAGCTGCCTGTGAGACTGGTTATTTCTGGGTGAGTCAACCAGTGAGTGCCTGTGACCATGTCAGAGTCTGGCACCAGAGTCACACAGAGCTGTGACTGCACTCACAGCTCTGCCACAGCTACTTGGTAGCTGCAGTGTGGGTTTCCTCCCCATCAGTGTGTCATCCTCTTTCCTTACCATAATGTGTTGTGGACTTATATATCTTCCATTTGTTGGCAGTGTCAGGATGTATTTGAAGCTAAGTTGGAGGGGTTTTTCACTCATTATCCATCTACCTAGTCCCCATCCCCCAAACCAGAACTACTCCCATTTTAATTAGGCTATCTATTATTTTAATACAAGTTATTAGGATAGAAGGCAAAAGTGTTTATCATCACAGTGATTTTTATCATAAAACTTTATTGTTGATTATGTTCTTAAACATACACACATTCCTACTTCTTTACAAAGTTTTTATTTAAGCTCATGTCTGTATATTTTGAACAGGTAGCATCACTGGCCAAACCTTAGGAAGTTCTAATAGCATCTTTCAGACCTGTATGTTGATTATTAGATCACCATAGAGGGAGGGAATTATAGTTATCCCACAGCATCCCCTTTTCTGTGTCACATAAAAAACAACAATAAATTGATTTCTTACTCCTACTTGACTGTTCTGTGCAATTAAAGTAAGAATTCATCACTGCTATGGCTTCCACCTTTTTCAAAAGTCCTTTTCAACCAGGAAGCAAACCAAATCTTAAAATAGCAGAAATATAGGTTGAGGAATAACGTCTGCCAGGTCCAGGTGAATCCTACCAGCTGCTCTATCTGCCTGAGCAGTTTTCAGTTCCAAATTAACTCTATTAATAGGTGTGATGCAGGGATGTGGCAATGTAGCGGAGGGAATTCATGTCAGAAGTGGGACCCAGCAGCTCAGCTGGATCCAGTGCTGTTCCTGCCTGGTTGCTGCAGCCTTCCCTCTCTTTCCCTCTCTTTCCTTCTCTTCCTTCTCATTCTTCACCACTGTTCAGCCCAGGAGCTTCACATGCCTCGAGAATGCAACAGCAGGCAGATGTAGATGGCTTTGTGCAAAGTTGCACTCTCAATTTCTACATCTATAAAACTGAGATAATACATTACCAATTCAGAGGGGCAAATTAATCAGTCAGTGTGCATATTGCACCTTGAAAATACAAAATTAACTCTTCTTAGCCCATAAGTGCTCAAGATGCATCAAGGTGTGCTCCATGGCCTCTTGATTCCAGACAAAGGTCCTCTTGATTAAATTAGGTTGCTAATGTATTAACGCATTAGCACACTTGAAGAAAGAAAAGTTTGAAAAAGCAATTTGGCTTCATCACATGAACGGCGTGTATACTTAATGGAAATTTTTCCAGCATTCACAAAACAAAGAAAAATCAATAAAATGTCTGCCAACTGTTCCACTGAAAACATTTTATAATCTATAGCACCGAGACTCCTGAGCCAAGATAAACCAGCATTGCTGACAGAAAATACTGACAATTATTTTACATTGATTCAACTTGGCCCAGCCCAGACTGACCTTGTTTATTCATCTCAGTCTCTTAATTCATATTAACTTGGCATCAAAATGGGACATGTGGCATGTGTGCTGAAGACCCATTTCTGTATCTTAGACTCAGATAAATGTAGTGCATTGAGTACTTCCAGTGCCTTGAGCTCTTAGGTAGATTTATATGCATTAGACTGAACTGGTTAAGTTCCTTTTATCCCTGCTGGGCTTTTTATGTCTGTTGACTGTAAAACTAGAAGCTCAGTAGAGGTAACATCTTCTTCTAAGCCTTCGGATATACATGAAATCCTCCCAGTACTGGTCAATTTTAAAGACACATCCAAAGAGGATGGAGGGTTTTAAGCTCTTTTAAAATATAAAAATAGAAGGGTTATGGCAATTTGGCAGCCAAAAAAGCAATTTGCGGGTCTCGGCAGAATCCGAGGCTGTGTGTAAGAAAGCTGATCAAGACACGACAGAGGAGATAATGGGGTCGAAGAGCAGAAGAATCCCCCCACTTCTGCAACCAGCATAATCTGGTCTCCAATGAAGTTTCTTAGTTTCTTATACTGAACCAATAAAGCTTAGTGTGATGGGAGAGTTGCATTACTGCAGCTTAAAACTGTCTCAAGAAGGCTGATGAGGAGAGGTGATTTTAGTTGCTTTACATGTGCCCAGCTGCTTGCATAGCTGTCTTCTGGCAGTGAAGAAATTGGGTGCTGCACAAAAGCATTTTTATTCTCAGAGCTACACCGCTGTCGTATCTGAAAGTCACCCTTGAGTAAAACACTACTTGGGTTAGGCATGACTGCATCCACAGAGGAGGAAAAGCTACCCAAACGATGAGAATCCTCCCAAAAGAGTTCCCAGTTGGCCTGGCATTGGATGTTTAGTTTATTTTCTCTACTTGACTCATTCTTGATGAAAGCAATGCTCCCTTGGACTTCACCAAGCACTTGGCAGGTTGTGGATGGCAGGACGAGCGGCGAGTCAGCAAGCCAAGATGGCACAATGTGGCCCCCAGGTTTCCAGGTTTCCAGTTCAACAGCACTGGGAATGGATTGCCTTTCCACATGCCTGTGTAAGCAGAGATTAATGATGACTGAAGAAACTAAAACTAGCAAAACCCAAAAAAAAAAAAACCTACAAAAAAAAACAACCCAAAAAAACCCAAACCAAAACAAACAAAAAACGAAACAAAAAAATCCATCTGCCTTTTCCATAGCACATAGCTGATGCTTTCCTCCCTGCACCTCCTTCACAACTTGGATTTCAGTGATGAAAGTGGTGTAGGGACAAAAATTTCAGAAAATCAGTGCTGTATTTTGGGTCTGATACCCTCCTCTCCTGGCATCTGCCCAAATTCCTCCGTGCAGGGCTGCCAGCAGTGCCTGGTGCCTGCTATGTGTGTTGCACATCCCCAGCCTGTCCTGCTTAACAAAACTGTAATTACTCAAAAAACCACCAGCTTTATACCTCATCTTTGAATGACAGGACAGTGCTGGAGGGACTGCACAGCCAAATGAGCGATCCTAGTGACACTCAGTCAACAAACCTACTGGCATATGATAGAAAGGAGCTGCAGTTTGTAGCCAGGAAATTACACAGGCTGCTGTATACTTGAAAAGATAGAAAACAAACAGAAGAGCTTTGCTCTGCTCTGCAGTGTGTCCCCAACTCTGCAGTCATTTCTCCCTCCCTTTCAATCACTTCTGTTTTGTTTTCCAAGACCCACCAGCCACAGACAGGCAGAGGACACTGAGCCTGGAGCAGATGGCCACACCACCTCCCTCATCAAGAAAACCTTTTCCAGCAGCCAGGAAGGTAAGTGAACAAGTCTCTTTCAAATATGCACAGGGGGATGAAGCTAGAGATATTGGTAATTTATATATTGAAAATTCATTTGGGTCCAGGAGAAAAAAACAAGGCATTGCAGCGTGAGCTTGGTTTGTGCGTTCCTAGCGGGGAAAGGCAGGAGGACTCAGATACTGGCTCATGGAAAGCAGAATAAGTCAACCAATCACCTGAATCTCCTTATCTTGCAGCAGTATCCCTGATTTAACACAAACAGGCAGGGTTTGTTAGTCCCAGCTGTTGTGGCTCTGTTCCCCTGTGCAGGAGCCAGCAGCAGCAGAGCCTCCCCACTTCCATGGCTGGGGAAGCAGCAGCACACGCGGTTCCTGCGGGGCTCTGGAGGAAGCGAAGGCGGCTGCCTTGCTTGGGCAGCACTTGGCATTGCCATCACATCAGAGCCCTGGGAGTGCAGCAGTCCAGCAGAGGAGCAGTCCAGCACGAGAAGGTCATGGTTAAAGAGCTGTCCCGTGAAGGCAGCCAGGCAGGGATAGGTCAGAGTGTTTGCACAAGGGGCGAGACAAGGATTTTTATCTCCTGCCCTGTCCGGGTGTCCCATGGCTGTACTGACAGGTAGGTAGGAATGGAGCCAGTCTCCAGGCACGGGAAGGCCAGGTGGTTCCTATGGCCACAGCTGAAAGGGGTCATTTCAAACAAGCCAGTTATGGATACACTTCCACCTTGCACTGAAGCTGAACCAGCAGCTTGCACCACCACAATGGGATAGTCCTGCTTCCCACAGTCTCAGGACCATGCAGGGAGCTGACAGCACATTAACCCAACCCAAAAAAGCTGTTAAAAAGTTTTCTTTCCCGTGAGCTTTTGTCCATCCCATGAATCATCCCAGGGCACCACAATGTGCCCTGCGTGGGGATCAGAAGACACCACAGACAACACCAAGCAAGGGGCAGAAGGACACTGCCTGCTGCAGGACTTCTTTTTGATGTTAGCAGCATCAAATTGGGTTCAAGCTGTAACAGGAAGCCTCAGCCTGAAGCAGCTCCTGCAGCAGCCTGGCAGCACACAGCTCCCCCAAGACAGGAGGTGAGCACTCAGGCAGGCAGCCCGTGCTGAGCCTCCCCCACTGCAGGGAGAGGTGTCCTGCAGCCAGGACTGTCCCAGACTGCCCATCCCAGTCCTGCTGCAGCTCTCCACCGAGCTGGGAGTACATGGGATCCCTGATCTGCTGGTGGCCTTGCATCTCCACACTGCCTCATCCACAAAAATCATGGTTGCTTTAACTTGTTGTGGTGTTTGAGGGAATATGCATATCCTACGTGTATAGACTTGTATAAGCAATATATTAAGTATTTTAATTCATCCATTGAATAACATGATATGAAATAGCTTTGTTTTATCAAAAAAGTGAAAGTTACCTAATACCTCTGTTTGTTTGGGTTTTTCAGTGAGTTAAATGGACTGTAAATAACTTAGTAGGTGTTTTTGTTGTTTGTTTTTTTTTTTTAAGGAAATACGAGAGCCATTCCTTCAGAGCAGGTAACCCATTTCTGATTTATTATTTTATTTCTGCTTATTATTATTTACTCTAGTTTGAAGCTTCCTGAAACTCCCCAAGCCTGTCCCTGCAAGCTGTCTGCCTGCAGGGCTCTTGCTGGAATTGGTAGAAATGCTCCCATACGGTTCTGCTAGAGTAGAGCTTCACCTGCTGCTTTGTACTGAGCACAGCACATGAAAGTCTCATCCTCCTTCCACGTTTATCTTGCATGAGCTAACCAGCACTCGGATTGGCACTTCCAAGAGGAAGGTTGCAGGGAAAAGGAGTGAGATGCTACCCCATGGTTTCATTATAACTCAGATTTAACTGCAAGGTGCTGCCAGTAGAGGTGGTCCATCCCCTCCCACACTGCCGGCCTCCAGGCCCATGTCCCCTCTCCCACACTGGCTCCCACCTCCAGCCTGCAGGAAACTCACTGGGGGGAGAGGAGGAGACTTCCATGTGGGCAGGGAAACCCTACCCTGCCCCTCATTGTCCTTCATCTGCCACGGGAACATTCCCTCCTGGCCTGATTTGGGATCCTGGGTGGCTGGGAGTCAGTGGGGTGCAGACAGAGTGCGGATATAGGGCGAGCCTCTCTCCAGAGCTGATGAGTCAGCAGCACGCAGCACAAACGCGCTTCCTCAGCTCTACTTTAAAGAAAAAAATAAAGTAAAATATAACAAATTATAAATCTCATGGCAGCAAGGATGAAGGCACAAGAGTGCCTGTGTTTTAGCCTCCTCACAATTACAATTCCTGTTTAAGCTTCTATTTTTGAGGCCAAAGTATTCAGTGTTTGGCCTCAGTGCAAACAGATCATTAAAAAAAAAAAAAAAAAAAAGAAAGGGAACACTTCAACCTCCCAGCAGAGCAGGATGGCACTTATTTATTTCTTTCATTACAAAACCAGCCTGTGCCAAGTAAAATTGTGCTCTAAGAGCTGTTCTACCAGTCCTGAAGCACTGAGGAAGAACACACAGCGGCCCCACCTCTGCAGCTTCCTGCAGGCCCCTGTGCATTTGCACTGGGTGGAGGATGGGCACCAGGTGCCAGGGTTCACCACACCAGGGTCACACCAGAGGGAAATCCTCATCCCACAGGACCTCTTCATTGGCCTTTGGATGATTTTGGTTGCCTCAGGACACAGAGTGAAGTAAAGCACAGCAGCAGTGGTGGTCTGGAGACATTGGTGGGATCCCTGGGTTTGCAGCTGGGTTAGCCAGCAGTTAACTGTTCCTTCCCCAAGCCCTGTGGAAGATCTCCTTGCCTTCACATAAGCAGCTGAATTAATAAACTGAGAAGTTAATGTGAACTCTCTGGACTATAACAATGAAATCCACAAGCCCAAACATTCGGACTGTGTAAGGAGAGTGATGTACAGAGAAAGCTTTGCCATCACTTCGTTAAGGACTTACCCAAGGGAGTGGTTAAAGTGTTCTTTGGTTCCAAAAAGTTACCTCAACTGAGTGGTCACCATGTCTAAAAGCTGGTGGGTCGAAGTGTGACATCTGTGACCTGGGAGTAGGTATTTGGATTTCAGCACACATCACAGAGCTGCTAGTGCACAGGAAAATGAGGCACTTCCATCTGAGCTGCTCTGGACCCAGAGAAGGGAGCAGCAGCTGTGGGTGGCAGAGGAAGACAGCTGGCAGAGGGAGCCTGCAGTGCTCACCAAGGTTTTTGGAGAAGAGCAGCATCCGTGTAACACTAACTTTATGCTTCTGAGAAAACATTTCCATCAACATTTTGTCCTGACTTTTAATGGCTTGTGGAAATTCAAAAGTCCTGCAGCAGCTGAGTACCATAGCTGGACCAACCTGTGGCTTTTGTTCAACCCATCCCAAATCCAACCCAAACCCACCATCAGCAGCTCTTCCCCTGGACACCACCACCAGCCTGCTGCATGGTGGACAACCCATTCCTGAGGTCCCACTTTCATCCCCCTGCTTCCCCAGGCTGGCATCCCCCTGACACCACTTCCCACATGTTGCTTCAGCGGGAGCTCACACAATACTGGGCTTGGTGCCACCCAAGGGGAGCACACCCAAAACCCGGCCCTTCTTGCACAGGCAATTCTGCAGGAAGATCCTTGCAGCTGTGAGCTGGAGGATTTGCTTTGCCCTCCTTTTCCAGTTTGTTGGGGGAAAGCTGGAGCCAGAGATGATCTATTCCCAGCCCAAATGGCCACTGAGGCCTTAGCAGGGATGGATCTGACAAGGGCCTGTCTTCTGTAGGTGCATCACATCATGTGAACTCCTCACTCGCTGCTGCTCTCAGCTATGAGGAAGCTTCTCCTCCCTGAAACTGTAGAAATCGTGCAACAAACTGTTCCCAGTGACCTGCCAGAGCAACTGGTTGTCACACAGCCAAGCAGTGCTCAAGCTGTTGAACAAGATTTGTTTTCTGGAGGAAAGCATTAGAAGTGTCTCAGAGGCAAGACTGTGCCACCATGGGGGTCACCTGTGTCCCTCCAGCACCAGCACGGGTCACCCGTGTCCTGCCTGCAGCTCCATGGTGTGAGGGTGACGGTGGAAAAGGGCTGCTGAGGTGTTCTCAGCTGGCAGTAGGACAAATGCAGTCTATGTGGCTTTGCCAGACTGGTTTTGGGCTGGCCAGAGCATCCCACCACTGAGCACAAAGGTGGGGATGAAGACAGATGGTGGAGGGATGAGGATAAACTGTGGCTTTCCTTGCCCTGTGCATGGCTTGCGTGGGTATGGCTCCTCAGGTGACATGGTTGAAACAAATGAGGAGTGAGAATCCCATCCACAATATTTGGAACAGCCAGGATTTGGTGTTCATGTTCCATCCTGGAGGTGAGATTAGGGTGGCCTGGAGGACCGTGCTGCTTGGGACCCAGCCCAGCCCTGCTGCTCTGAGCAGGGTGGTCCCAGAGGTCCCTCCTGGTCTGTGCTCTTCTGGGATTTGGTAATCTTGAGCAACTGTGTAGGTTGGTTCAGAGTTTCCATGTAGCAGCACCCAGACTTGGATCAGTGAAATCAAGGCTCCAAACACCTTGGTCACCTACCTTGGTACAAACAAGACCCTTTGGAAAATGTAAATCTCAGCTGCTGCCTCGTTCCTGGACCAGAGACTGATCTTCCACCAGGCAATTCAAGATACTGAAGCCAATGGCTCCTTATGGCTACCAGGTGCTAATTTTAATGTATTATCACTCGGCTGAGTACCTATCAGCCAGAATGGTTTTGTATTATGCTGTTCAAGGGAAACAAGGCATTCCCAGGGAAAAGGAATGGTACCTATGGATCCTAGCAACAGGCATGTCCTTCCACCTAGTCATTCCTGCGGCCTGGAACCAGGCAGTCTTCATCTGAATAAAAAAGGTGTTTAAAATAATTTCCTGGGGCTCCTTCATTTATTCTCCTCTCTCCCACTCTTGTCCTTTCCCACCTTCATCATGCCCTTGAGAATAATCCCAGGAGAAAAAGCGTAGCCTCCTGGGAGCAACACAGCAGCGCGGGGAAGAGGTTTCTCTGTATTTCCCACTCCAGGAGAGTAGAAGGATCCTCTGTTCTGCCTCAGACCTGTGGAGACAGAGCAAACCACTGCCTCCATCCTGCTATCCCTGCAGGTCCGAGATGACTTAGTGGCTTTTCAATTACAGGGTGTGCCTTCCCATACCGCTCCTCCCTTCGCCTGCCGGAGCGGGACCACATCATTACCATGAAAAGCCCCACGATCTGAACACTCCAGGGCACAAGTAGATGCTCTCCTGTCAGGATATTCATGTTTTCCTTCTCTGGAGGACTAGCAGCTCATTATCATAGGGAGCAGCGCTGCAGTGCTGGCTGCCCCTGTTCCTGGACAGCCCTCTTCCTGCACAATGAAAATCAACTCTCATCAAATTGTTACAGCATGTTTTATTGCTGGGGTGCTACAGCTGAAGGGATGCAGATATCAGAGGAGGATTCCAGTCATTACCACTCTTCAGCCTTTGATTAACATTAAATACCTCTACAAGCTTCATGCCACATCACAGGCTTCCCACACCACACCGCCAGGTCAGCTTTAGTGTGACCAGAGAGGTTTGCAAATAGGATTTTTTAAAAAAGTATTTTTTAAAAAAACAAGTAGGTAGGTCTGCAGAGTGGGGTTCTTGTTCACATCTCCCCAGACAGAGGCACTAATCACAAATGCAGCTCAGATACCCACCTGATGCACTCTGGACCCTGCACCTTGAGGAAAGGGGACCTACCCAAACAACCTTGAACTCTTACGTGGTCAGACATGGTGTGGGGTCTTTTTCCAGCCTGCATTCACATGCCCACCTACTCTCTTAACCCCCAGAGCAACCACCAGCAGAAACCCCTCTGCATAAGGCCCTGACACAGCTCTAGGGACAAATGAGCCACCCCTTCCTTACCTTCAGCCATTGATGCTCCTCAGGGCTTCACTGAAAAAAAAAAACAAACATATTTTTTGAAGCCTGCAGCAAGTGTCATTCAGAGAGCAAGGAGAGCCCACAGAAAGCTTGAAGCCACCCAAAACCCAAGGCACATGCACACAGCCCCACCATGAGGGCTGCTACCAAGGAAGGTACCTCATAACCTCCTTGAAGAGAGAGGTGCCTTACTAAGCAGAAGTCTGAGTGGTGAGGCTGTGCTTCACTCTTCCACACTGGAATAACCCAGTGGGGTCTGGGATGCAAGCGCTGGTTCAGGTGGGACATCAGGGACACTTTCATATCATCTTCAAAACACCTCTGGGGATTTTCAAGGAGTTGTATTTTGCCAGGGCTACCTCTCACCATCTCCCTGCAAGGGAAGAGCCAAGCCATGGGCTGGAAGCTCAATGTCCATACAGAGCTTGTTTGGAGCTGTTGCTGTTTTGCTGTTCCCTCCAAGCTGAGGTAGGGAAGTCGTGGAGGGAATGCAGTTTTAGAGGGAGATCTCTATCTCTGTGGTGAAGTGCACATGCCATGAGATGGAGCTGCTGCTCTGGTAAAGGTTCCTTGTGAAGCTTCAAGAGTTAGGAGATTTTCTTTTTTTTTTTATCTTTCCTGAAGTCGAGGAGCCAGGGAGTCGCTGACATGAGCCCTGTCCACCCTCACCAGTGCTCCCACAGCCTGACACAGCCCTGACAGCCACCTTCTGGGGCCAAGCCCACCCCCTCTTCCCACGCCAGCCAGTGTGTTTTGCCCTCTGAGACAGGACAAACACACGTTTCCCTTTGTTTCCAGCTCCACACCTAGTTTTTTTCTTTGCATCATGAAGAGCTGGCTACTCATCTGTAATTCAAAAGAAAGCAATGACTCACTAGACTACATCGCTTTCCAAGGCAAAGCATTTCATGCATTTCGCAGGCACGCTAGCCCAGGTTATGAAATAACCTCTGCTGGTGGCACACATTCTCCCCATCACCATGTCCTTTGCAAAACCAGAGGGCTCAGGCTTCCACCCTGCACAGGCACAGAGTGCAGGACAAGGATTTGTGCTTAAATCGTGCATTTGCATTGTGTGAGGAATGCAAAATGCCATCCCCACTTTAAAACCTGGCTGGCCACAGGCTGGCATTAACCCAGCCTAATTAAAGGTAACAAAAACCTAAAGTTTCTCTTTTGCCAATAAGCTTCCAAGCACCAGGTGAGTGGTCTCAAAGGCAGGTGGAGCCACGGCTGCCAGCCCCTCACATCCCAGGGGACACCATGCAATGCACGGTCCCTGGAGCTGCAGCCCCTGGTTTTCCCAAGAACAGCAGGGGAAGAGGGGTGTGAAGGGGCTTAAAAACAGATGAGAAATGCCTTACCTTGAATGATAAGCCAGTCTTCATCATTTTGGGGCTACATCCTTCATTCCCAGGCCAAAGTGGGACAGTGTCTACAATTATCTCTTCTCCCTGGGTCGGGTGGTATTTTGATACCTGTGTTTCCATCCCCCTGTGCCTCTCCCTGCAGCCTGCCTGATCCTGCCTGTCTTTCCCCCTCAGGAGACTGGAGACAGCGGGTCTCTCCAGATCGTGCACTTTGGGCTGGTGTGACTGAGCTGCCAAAGCAGAGAAGAGGAAACCTCACCGAGGCGGTGAAGTTCACGGGAAGTCCTTCAGCAAACTTCCAGCCAGCCTTGGATCTGACCACCGGCAGATGACAAAACACCAGGCTTAGAAAATACCCTGTTCTTAGACCTCCAAATTATTTCTGAGTTCATGTTGATATGTCCATGCACAAAGTGCCCTTTGTTTGCTTGTGGAGGGCAACTTGGTGACATTTTCATCAAAGGCGTCAAAAATAGCGAGTAATCGCCGATCCCCATGTACTGTACCAACTCAATGCTGAAAAATTTGGTGGGGTGTCTTGGATGAATCCATAAGCTTTTCAGGAGAAAGTCTGTAATTCTCTATGCATTATATGTTTTTACAATCTTCACTTGGAAGCAGATTCGAATTTCCACTTAAGTCTCTGAAAACCGTCCTATTGAGATACCAGCAGATAAGATCTTCACTCAGGATACCTCTGTGAAAGAGCAGCCTTTCACAGTTAGCAGCATTTTTCAAAGAATGCTCTCAATTTTCATATCTAGATATATCATCTTAGTTGAATAACCATTATTTTGCCTTGAAAAAAAGATGCGGAGCCTCTTAAGCATCATTCCATTGGAGTCCAGATTTTAATCTGCCTCCTCTAACCACAAAGAGAAAATGCACTGAGAAGGGAACCTGTGCCAGCCCTCTCTATTTTTTTTCTGGCAGTGAAGAGGAGCGAGCATCATCGTGGGTCCTCCCTCCCACCACCTGATGGAGCGCAGAGTGTACAGACACGGTTATTTTGAGCTCTGTCATAGGCACATGTGTGGGTTAATCTTGAGCCTTTTGGGGAGCACTGGGTGGTTGAGACCCAAAGCCAGAGAGCTTCTTGAATTTGGTTTTATGCGGTGAGCAAATCTGTACGATGGACTGAGAATGAAATGTAAAAAACCCCAAAACCCACAAGCCATTACAAGTGTTTCATTAACAGAAATTCTGCCTTTACCCAAATAAAATATTTACGGTCCATTTTCCCCTTATGAGTCAAAATTCTGCTGCCTGATGGGTGATTTTGGCTGCGCTGTTTCTCCACTCCATCCCAACCTACACCTTTCCACGCTTGTATTCAAAAGAGACGCTTTGGTTTGAGGTTTGAAGGGAGCCAAGGGTTTGCAGCCCGTAGGGTTTTGTACTCTCAACAGGGAGAAACAAATAAAGAGAGCAGCTGCTGCCTCACCTCCCCACGCAGAGCCGAGGAAGTGAGGGCTGAGCTTGCAGAGGAGTGTGCCTTTAATGTCCCACAGATTGAAATTGAATTTCTGGAAAAGGCACGGCACGGCGCTGGACCGCGGTGACGGGGGGCTTGTTCTGCCTAAGAGGCTGCGACACATCGCCTTGCCATACAGCTCTTTTGCTGAATTGCAGCCATATTTCTGTCAGTACAAGTGATGGTCTATATGAGGGATTAATCTGACACCAGACAGTGATTCTTAATCCTTCAGTATATCATAATCTATTTACTTTGCATGCTAAGAGGATTTCAGCTTAAAAATATACAGGAAGTGATACTAGAAATGTACATAAGGTCCAGAATGCTGTTTCCTAAAATTGCAGTTTTTCATAAAAAAATATCCTCACATGGTTTTCTTGGAAAAGTCCTGTCTGTCCAGGAAAAAAAAAAAAATTTAAAAAAAAGTGTTGAATAGGGATTTAAGTGAAAATAGGCAGATGTTTCCCTTTAGGCTTCAGCCCTGTGACCATTTTCACCCTCCTCCTTCCCCACAGCATTTTGTGCTCAGCAGTGGCAGTTCAACATGAAAGGAGAGCTCTCCAGTACAGCAGCTTCCTCAGCTGGGAGGTTCACCTGCAGACTTTTCACTGACAAAATCAAAAACAGGTTTGGAACCAACATGGGATTTTATGTGCATTAATTGCTGCTCAAAGTGTATGAATTAGCAGCGACTGGCTAACACGGAGGTCAGCGCAGGGAAAACCACAAACCAGTGGTTCCTTATTCAGCTGTAATCACCTGTTTTCTCTGCTCCCTGCCAGGAAGGCTGCCTACAAAATAACTGTAATAAGTCGTGTTAGTGGGCACAACTTCTGAAACTTACAACAGGATTTTTAGCCATAATTCTTCAATAATTTAAGTCAAGCTCGGCCGTAATGGTTTGAGCTCCCAAAGCACCTCCTGCACCCAAAAGAGGAGTTGGTCACCCCAGCCGGCAGCAAACTTGTCCAGCCTCTGCCCACTAAAGGTGTCCCCATCACCACCTGTCCCAGCTCCCTGCCACGCTCAGGGGTTCTACAGCAGAGCAGGGACACGACTCAGGGCAGAGCAAATAGGTCATGGATTATTCCAGGTCCTTGAAGCACCGGCATAAAAGGTAAGGACAGCCCAAGCTGGGGAATGTTCTCCCCTCTGTCTCCCCTCCTGCTCACCCCAAACCCTGCAGTTCCTGGCAGGAAAGCCCCAGGTTTGGAGCAGGCAGAGGCAGCTTCTGGCACTCGGGAGGGGCGGGTGCTGCTGCCGGGGGTGACCCAGCCCTCGGCAGCTCCGTGCTCCCGCATCAAGTGCGATTTTCATTTCTAAAAACAAAAATAAAAAAATCATGGTAGCCATACGCCCAGCAGCCTTCTTGCTGGAGAGGTGAGGCACGAGCCAAGTAGGCAGCTCTCTCAGAACCGGGTTGCCCTAAAAAGCTTGGCAATCCTGCTGGCGCCTGCCCCTGGAGCCGGGCACCAGGCACGGTGCCACCTTACCTGCCATGACTCGTGCTCGGGGTGGCAGTGCCTGCGCCAGCCTCCAGGTAGCCCACAGTGGGAGAAGTCTGTAAAACAGGGAGGGTGCTGGGCTCCCCCAAACCCAGCCATGACCCTTCCCAGCCCGTGCTCAGCCACCGACAGGCGGGAGTCAAATCTTATCCGCCCTGCCGGCAATGACTGGAAAAAAAAAATTGAAACAAAAATTGAATTGGAGCCAAGAACTGAGGACACAGCCGTGATTTGGTGTGATCTGGAGCAAGTGTCCTCTGTGCCTCCAAAGCCACCTTGCTCAGCAGCCAGCTTCAACACCATGCTCTGTGTGAGTGGGACAGGAAAATGCCCAGACTGCAGCGTGGGAGTTGCTGGATAAACCACTGAGCAGTGGCACCTGGTGTTTCTGGTGCCTAAATCGGGGTGGGGGGGAAAGTGAGGGGATCCCTTGGAACACCCCAAAGCAGAGCCCTGGCCCAGCCCCACTGTGGGGCACTGGATGAAGAAGTTTTGGACCATGTCACCAAAAACAAAATTCAGGCTCCCCTCTTGGCTGTGTCTCAGCATCACTGATTTTCTGAGTTACAGTGGAACACGGTTTTTAAGGATGATGAAGTGTGCATCATTTTTGGTTAAAGAAGACGAAAGGTGTGTGTCAGAGGGATTGTGTGTTATAAACCTGCTGGATCTTATCTCTCATGTGCTTACTAAACCTGGGAGGGCAACTCTGGTTCATTTTGTGCCCAGCACAGATTTATTTTTTTTTCCCCAGCCCCAGGAGCGCTGTGTTAACTTTTTCCTCTTTAAATGAAGGGCTTGGGGATGCATAGGTTGATGCACCCGGAGCCAGCACAGGTGGCCCAAACTGCCTGTACAGCCACACTTTGGTGATTGCAGAAGAGAACAATTATTTTATAGTAAAGGTATAGATATTTTTTTTTTTAAATGCTTACATATTATCTGTATATATCCACAGAAGGAGACGACAAGGAAAAGAAGCACTTAAAAGAAAAATCCCCTAACATTGACTCAGTCACTCGTCCCCTCCCACATCTCCTGTTGCTCCGAAGGGTGCGGGAGTCCATCCCCGCCTCGGGGCTCTGCCACGGCCACCACCCTGGAAGGCTGCACGGGGGCTGGCGGGTGAATCCTGGGGCTGATCCCACTCTTCTCCCCCCGCAGCACCGCAGCACCATCCCGCTGGCTCTCCAGCAGGATGCTGAGGAGAGGAGAGGTGAAACCCTCCCCAAAGCAGGCGCGGGGAGCACTGGCACCCCTCACCCCACTGCAGTCCCCACTGCCCGAGGCTGCCTGGGGACACCAGCGGTGGGGACACACCCGGAGCTTCCAGATGCAGTGGGCATTACTGCAGGACCACGGGGAGGAGGATGGGGATTTGGGGATGCTCCTCGAGCAGCGCATCAATGGCCCAAGCAGGGGAGCCGTGGCCCGCGGGTCCACACGTCCCCGGTCCTGTGCAACAGGCAGCCTCCAACAACTGAAGGGAAGGTCTGGGGGGGAGATAAAAATAGGGGAAAATTGTCACGGGAAAAAAATTCATCTCCCTGCCTTCTTTGGCTGGACCGCAGCCGACAGCGGGTGACCACGGTACGGCCGGGAGTCCGGGCTGGAAGCGCAGGTGCCGAACCCGCGCAGAGGGACAGAGGGACAGAGGGACAGAGGGACAGAGGGACAGAGGTCTGGCTGGATGTCCGAACAGCCCTCACCCCACCACCGGCAGCCAGGTCCGCCCGTGGCTCCCGACTTTGGGAGCTGCGCCACCGAGCCTGGGGGAAAATCGCAATTTCGGGCAGCGCTTGCCCGTCCCGTGAGCCCCATCAGCACCACGGGGCACCAATAAATCCGCAACCAATTAAGAGCCAATTAACGTAAGAACGAGTCCCCAGCCCGCACCTGCAGAAGCGGAGATGGATCCTCCCTGCAGAGCATTCGCAAACCCATCACACCATCCCCATCCTGCTGGGACCCCTCACTCCCCCCGGGGAAGCTCTATGAGGAAGAGGAGGCGGGAGGGAGGAAGGAGGACACGACACCACTACATTTATTAGTTTAGATTTTATTGGGGCGGGCGGGAAGAAAGGAGGGGGTTGCCTTACAGTTGAAGGGGTTACGGCATCCAAAGGGACACGTCCGCTGTCGCTGTCCCCGCGGCCGGGAAGCGCCAGCCCAGGCGGGGGAAGCAGGAACGCGGCCCCGAGCTGCCACAGGGGGCTCGGAACAACCAAAACGAAAACCAAACCAAAAAAACCACACTCCAAAAAGCCGTGCGTGCCCCCCTCCCCAGCCCCAAACCAGAGCTGCTTATCCCTGCAACCCTCCCCCCAAAAAATAAACCAAAACTTTTTTTTTTCCAAAAGTTTTGGGTTTTTTTTTGGTCTGCAGGTTTCGGATCAGCTGGACAGCCTTTCCCTCCCCCTTTGCCTCCCTTCTGGGCACCTCTCATGGCTGCTGCCTCCCCTCTCACCCTCAGCCCCAGGACGGCACAGCCAAGCTTGTGCAGAGCCCTCGAGGATGGACGGAGGACATGAGACCGGGAAATATTCATTTCTTTTTAGGGAAGAAAATTGAAATTTAAAAAGTTTTTCTTTTTTTCTTTTTCTTTTTTTTCTTTTTTTTTTTTTTTTTTTTTTTTTTTTTTTTTTTTTTTTTTTACGTTCTGGCCCATGTTAGACTCTAGATAAATGCCAACCCAACAGCATCAACTAAAAATAATCGCGGTCACTGGAACGGACCGAGTATTTACATCATTCCCCGCGGCAAGAGGCTGTACAGGACCGGCGAGCCGGGGCTTCCACACCCGCAGGGGCTGAGGGTCCCCGCACAAAGCTGGGGGGGCACTGGCAGGGCAGGAGCCAGCCTGCGCCTCTGCCCGGGGGGCAGCAGGGGACACGCTAGGCTTTTTAATTTTCCTTTTTTTCTTTTATTTTTTTTTTTTTTTTTAAACTCCTCTTCTGTCGCGTTTAAAAAAATAATAATTATAATAAACCTGGTGGAGTGGCGCAGGAAGCAAATAAATATCAGTCAGTAGAGATGGGGGCGGCAGGACCTCCCCAGGGCATCGCCACTGCTAACGAAGAGGGAGGAAGAGGAGGAGGAGGAGCAGCCAGAGTCCTGCCCAGGAGGCGGTGGGGAGTCCCCGGCTGGGGGGTCAGCGGCAGCTTGGGGGGGATGGTGACCGGTCCCTCACAAGACCTGGAAGCGCCAGGACGCCTGGTCCTTGTAGTCAAGGCAGTCGGGGGAGTTGAAGTTGAGCTTCCAGGAGGCGGCGGCGG